TTAAAATAGTCCCCAACAAATGCATTATTTACACCTGTCTGATTAATGTTTGCTAAAAACAACAGTGCCCAGCTGTTTTAGGAAATTACTAAACCATTTAAGAACCATACAGTACATATAAAGATATTAAGAGACGGACTAACACATTGCTGGTTTTCACGTGATTGACAGTAAGAAAAATAGACAATAACACCAGACCTTTTCTTAAATGACTGCTGTTTCCATGTCATTAAATTGACATAAAATCTATTGACATTTGAAGATTCCCTCCAGACATGTGTACAAATAGTCTGCTTGGAACAATAATGTGTGTCTGATGTGTAAAAAAAGTGGAACTTCAACATCACTCTACCTAATTAAAAATACCGGAATATATGACTATGTTGTTCTTTTCTAAAGTTTTCCTGCTGGAGACAAGATGTCTTACTGTACAGTCCATTCTCAGTACATGTGCACTGGTGGCTTTCTATATCGTACTTGTAGAAGTTGCATACTTGACCAGGATTGAGCTCCAAACTATTTGTAAACTTTCCACTTTCAGCAGTTGAACTCTGCACAGTGAAGATTAAACATCCAACTGTAGGAACAAGAAATAAAACATATTTTTGAGTGGGGTGGGCTTTAAATAAAGGCTGTGAAAAGAGGGCAGTCAGTGTTTTCCACTATGTAATGATCCAATGTTTGACCTAAAAACACAATGACATGGATATCAGTTAATAAGGTGTATTTTAACTTCCCTGCCCTGTTTTTGTCACACCTGTCTCACCTCAGTCCTAACCTCCTCACCCGGGCCCCACCCTGGATCTGGAGAGACCTGCATTTGCCCCGGCAGGCCGGAGTACAGCAGAGGACGAGGCCGGGGCAAATGCAGGTCACGCCAGATCCAGATCTCCCTTGGTAATCTCTGCCCCAGCTCTGAACCCGGGATCCCATTAAAAAGGATTTGCATCCAATAGTGTAGATGTACCAAAGGCAGCTTTGCTTTCTTTTCTTCTCATCATTTTCCGCCTCTAATAAAATCCCTGTAAAACACCGGCGAGCTTCCCCCCCTCGCTGAGCAATAGATAGGACGACTACGATGTGAACATAAATCTGAGCCACACCCACAGAATGTGGATAAAGGAGAGGGATTCGTTGGGTGTCTCATCTGTAGTCAAAGCTTTCCATGGGATGTAGATGTTGGCAGGCCGCGGCGCATGAGTAAAAGACCGAGATCTTAGAGAGGAAGTGTGTGAGCGAACTAAATATAGACTGTGAGGAAGGAGAGAGAGAGATCATTTCTGCCGCTTATCCCACCCTTCTGCCATCTCTCCCTCTTATCTCCATCTCCCTCTGTGCCTCATTTGGGTCTTTACCGTAAGACTTGCTGGCGTCAGTATTCCTCTCTGAGCTGCGGGATCCTCTCCGATCCCATTATTTGTGCCGTGGTCAGTAGCTGAGGCTATGATCTCACTTGCCATAGCTGCCTGTTGAGCGCCGCCTTTACAGTGTAGTGTAGTAAACAGCAGCCAGCCTGATTAGCACCACACAATCAACACAGCTACGTTTGGCTTATAACTTATGTCACCCGATTGGGCAAGCGCTTTGTCATGTTGGTGTTTTTAGAAGATTTACGCTCGCTGATGCCAGCTGCACGAAGGTGGTGTGTTAGCACACCAGAGACTGAAAGGGATAAGAGGAATCACTGAGGTGCTTTGGAAAAGTTGGATCGAGGATGTGAAGTGTCGAAGTTGTCTTTGGAAACAACAAGGTGCCCTTGAGCAACTATTTGAGAGAACCTTTGTCTCTTTAGCAGCTAAATGCTCCAACATGTTCACCAACGAGTCGCTAACTGTGTCTGGCTGCGGTTTGGTGATTGAACAGGTAGTGTAAGTTTCAGCCAGACAGCTAAACAATGAGCTGACACTAGCTCATTGTAGCTGCTTTTAAGACTTTGGCACTGGAAGTAAGAAAACGTCATTGAATGTGCCCTGGGAAACTGCAGCATCGTCCAATATTGATGTTCTTGTCCGACAATAATGTTGCCACGAAGTAAACGTGTCTTAACTTTAAATAAATAAAGTCAGAAACACTAATTCTTAGTCTCGTTCTAGCAGTCAATCAATGATGCCGGTCAGATCTTAATAACCAGAAAAACGTTTCCCCGTATCAGAGTTCAGAGCGAGTTCAGTACGACTATTATTAGTAGTCGGTGTGGCCAGACTTTCAGATTGTGATTGGCTCGTAGGCATATTGTCAGGACTGGTTGGAATTATGGCATTTCTACATTGACATGCCCAGTGAGAGTCCATCAAACGCACAGTTTGTTAGCCTGTTGTCTCCTCGAGCTACCATTTGTTCACAGTTCCATAGAAAGCATACCCCCAACATGCAGACATTGGCTGAGAGGGAGAAAACACACTTGATGAAACACAGAAACAAATCAGTAAACAGCAAAAGTGTTACACAAAACAGGAAGGGACAACAAATATTGTGTGTGGTTTGACTGAACCCAGTGAATTTGTCGTGATCCAGGAACAATACAGGAAATAACTGGATAAGCATTGAACTACGGGACCATGATTAAGCTACAAAAGTATTTATCTAGAAACCTTAAAATCTTTGTGATATTAACCCCAAACCGTTGTTTTACACCCACACAGCGACTAGGATCTGGACACCCAGAGGTCCACTGACAGAACAGTGGGTCTTACTGATAAACGGGGTCATGTGAGAGGTTCGATTACTGCGTGTGTGTGTGTGTGTGTGTGTGTGAGAGAGAGACTGTCTCACTGCGTGTTCAGGTCACACGTGACCTCTGTGAATGTGTGTGTGCTCACATAGTCCTGCTGTGTGTTTGCATTGTACCTTTTATCCATTCGTTTACGTGTGTTGTCTGGCTGTTGTGTAATCAACAAATGGTTATGAAACTTATTATTATTATTAAATTAAGCCATGGACCTTCACAAGCTTATGCTGCTGTTACAGGAGTTTCTTTTCAAGTCGTTTGCTGCCAATCCCCACTTATCAGATTAGATTACTGGATTTCTACGAAAGAATCGTGAAGAGGATGACGGAAAGTCCGCTGTGTGTGTAAATAACTTTTAAAGTAACATTGGGTAAACTTGGGGATGATGAAGAAAGAGTGATTTAAATGCGATTTAACTAACGAATAAAGAGCTCAGAGGATAATACTCAAAGTAAATCTCATTTTTGATACGAAATTGCGAAAAAAAAAATCACTTGTTCCAGCTTGTCAGTGTGGCTACTTTTCTGTTTTATATTGTTGTTAAATGAACATGTTTCCGGTTTGGACTGTTGGTGGAACAAATTAAGACATTTGTACACATTACCTTGGACTTTAGGAAATTGGGATGGCTTTTTTTTTGTATTTTCTGAAATTTTTTTTGACCCTATTTGAAGATTCCCTCCAGACATGTGTACAAACATATTTTAAATATGTTATTCAGTGAAATGTTACTTTAAAATTCAGGAAAAAGTACAGAAATGAGAAAAAAAACCACCCAAATGTATAACAAATAGGTGAGGCCCTATTTGTTATATATTTGGGTGGTTTATTTCAGCTTCCGTATATATGTATGGTACATTAATGTTAACCTTGTAATGTGATGGTTCATGATACTGTCACACATCCAAAGAATCACCTTAACTTAACTAAACCACTAAAAATGGAAGAAGAGATCTGGAAAATGGAAAAAAAATCATCAATTCATTCTCAGGATGACAAAATCAGGGTCTTCCTCACAAAATCATCAGCGAAGACTGAATAACTGAAGAGTGAAAGTTCTGCAAACCTTCCTAACTTCCTAAACCTGTTTCTGATCTCACTGTGAGACAATTTTTATGCATTTTTTTTTCTTATCATGACGTCAAGACGGTACCAATATTTTATTTTAAAATTCTCCCCAATGACACCAATTTATTATAATATTATCCACCATTCAGCTGTAGTGGAACTCGGTCAGGCTCGTATAAATTTTTCATGTGTGCGATTCCTCTCAGTGGGGGCTCTCTCCGTGCAGCGATCTCCTGTGACCCCACCGTGCCCTCCAATCAACATCCCACCCAGCCCCAACTTTTCCACACGCTATACATTAAAGCTACGCTGCCAGTCCATCAATTAAACATGGTGGACAAGGACAGGCAGAGTTCACCGAGCTTTTCTCAATCTGCTGCTGGTGGCGTGCTGGCTCGTGTGGCAAACCTCTGAAAGTTGCTGCCGTGAGAGAGGACGATGGTGCAGATGTTAATAGCATTATGAGTTTTTTTTTCATTTTTTAAAGTAAGATTTTTTGTCTTTTTTCTGCTGCCAACAGCTCGATTTGTGCTGCATTTGAATATATTGAATCTACTCTCCAGTTTCTGAGGCTATTTTTAGACCTTCTACACACAAACAGGAGTATCTTTCTATTTCTCTGTGTCTCCATCATGACTGAGCTAATATTCCCACTCTGCTGGATATCACTGTCCATCCCCATATGTGCATTTCTAACCTGTTAGATCCATGAAGTGTGAGAGGAGGTAAAGTGCATGGGACCAACCATGATCAAATGTGCAGAGAAAAACAACAGAGTTGATCCGATGGCTGGTACCAGGGGATTACAGCATCTCTCCTTGTTCTGCACGAATTTATGCGTGTGTGGCTGGTTCCCCGCTAAGGTGTTGCGTGCGCTCACCGCTCGCAACAGTGAGGGCACAGAAACATGCTACAGTATAGATGCATCAAGCAGAGGTCAGAAAGAAGTCAGCCACACACAACTTTTGGGCATGTAAGTTAAGGCAAGATGAAACATGATGTGATTTGCACACGTTATGATGTTAAAAAGAAGTAAACAGAGTGGGTAGCTCATGAGCTATGAAACACTTTTGGCAAAGGAAGCTTTGTGGTTCCTTTTTATAAACCGAAAATCACTTCAAAACTGGCATTAAATCAGAAAGAGTTGTTTTCATGAGGCCAAAACTGATCACGTGAATTTGTCTTCCTGGTTGTGTTGTTACAGGTCAAAGTTTGGTTCCAAAACCGCCGCACCAAACAGAAGAAGGACACCACCAAGGATTCAGACAAACGCTCCTCCTCCACGAACGAGTCATTGGCCACCTGCAACATCCTGCGCCTCCTGGAGCAGGGCCGCCTCCTATCGGGCCCCGCCCCACCACCTAACTCCCTCCTGGGGCCTCCGCATCCGGGACACAACGGCTCCCTGCTGAGCAGTCCTGGCGGAGGCTCCTCCACTTCTCCGAGCATCAGCAGCAGCACCCCTCCCAGCTCCCTACCAGGGGGGACTTTTGGGCTGTCGCTGCCCTCGCTGGGCGGCACCCCGCCCTCACCGCGGTTGGGCGTCCCACCGCCGCACTCCCTCTGCTTCTCCATGCCGCTGCTGGGGGGCGCTCATCACGAACTCACATCCACCTACGGCTGCGGGTCTTCAGCTTTTGAGCCGTACATGCGGCTGGACAGGAAGGAGGCAGATCTGGGAGGGAAGAAGACAGTTTCTTAAGTAATGTGTCCCACTTTCAGGACACCAGGGGGACAAGGACTTTTCTCCCCAGTTGTTCAAACTGCCGCCTGTTTGACACTTGAGCGTACAGGGCAAAGAAAGCACCCTGGATAATAAGAAATGTGAAGAAAAGACAAGGTTGCTTTCCTTGCGACGCCATTTTGTGCCACAGCACTGTTGGGCACCCTGACACAAAATGGTGAAAAGGACGTGATGTGAAGGAGACTCTCCCACATAAAAAAAGAAAAAAAAAAAACTTGTGAATTTTTGCGAAAATGCCGTGTGTGTATGTTGTGTGAACCCTGACAGACAGATGTTTTTATCACCACTCTCTTCGCAGTGGTTTCAAGTGACTCTTCACTTTTTTGTCCAGTGAGTTTGTGTGTGTGTGGTTTTCTCTTTAGACAGGCCTTCATTTACTGTTCAGGAAAAAAACAACAACAAAAAAAAACTAAAAACGTGACATGGATAGTTCAGACTGAATCAGCGTCTGAAGGGAGAAAGAGTGGTATTTCAAAGAGAGCAGTTTGTACACATTTCGGTACATATTCCCGTACAAGTGGCCATGTTTGATTTTAGTTAATGTGCTATCACAATATGGAAGAAACACAGAGAAAAAAAAAAAAAAGAATTGTAGCATTTTAATATCAGTCTGTTTGGTGTCCAGCAGTAGTTTTTGTAAATTCTTTATTTGGTTGTGTTTGTGTATGAAATAATATGTGGTAGGATCTGGACAAATGGTGCAAAAATCACATATCTAGATCCGATAGTTTAATATAAAAGAACACGAGAAGAGAGGAGAACAGATGTGTGAGAGAGCTGGTTTAGACTCTGCCAAAGCATTTATGGATTAAGCTTTGGACGTGCCACACTTGTGCCCTCCAATCACTGAAGCAAGTCAAGGTCAAGCAGAGAAAATAACCTTTGAACCCAGATTAACTTTTCAGTCTTTACTTCACAGATGTCACACTTTCCCTTTTGAGTAAACGTCTAGGAGACAGTTGAAGAAGAGTTAAACATCTGGCTGAGTTTTTGGAATTCTTCTAATTTAGGGAATCAGATTTGGGGCTAGACCTGCAACGGTTAAACTCCCAAACATTGCCCTGTTCCAGCTTCTAAAACGTGACGATTTACTGTATTTCTTTGTCATATATTACAGTAAATTGAATAGACGTCACTATGGCCTCAAAATTGTGATGAATCCAGAAAATAATTGGCAGTTTAATCAGTTAGTTGCAGCCCTAGTTGGGACGAATATGTAATGTCACAATGAGCCACGACACCTGTAGAATCTGCTGCTGTTTTACACCAATGCTTTTATTTTTTCGTCTTATTTTTAGTTGGCCATTTTCATGGTTTGCATCATAAGCATCAGAGGTACTGTGTCATCAGGCCATATCCATAACCACAAGAAATCTCAATGTACTTTTACACAGAAAATATTTACTGTGTGCACACGCTTAGTATGCAATAAGCTGCAGAATCACCTGAAAATTAGGTTTTTTTAATGATATTTTTCTTTGGTATCTGTGTTTGCTCCATGTTTCCCCTTTGAATTAACTTTTGGCTCGCCCTCCTGTTAGACTTTACCTCGCTCCATCTTTAATGAAAAGATTTCCTCTGCTTGCCCCTCATTTAAAAGCACTTTATGTTTGTAGGTTTTTACACTTCCCTCTGTATCCCCCCCCCCCTTTTTTTTTTTTTGCTCTCAAACAGGCCAAAACCTTCCCAGCTTTAGTTAGAGTTGATTTATTCTTAGAAAGGGTATTTTTTAGAGTCAAAGCCAGAAAACCCCTCAGTTATTTCTTTTCAGCTACATTTTTAATTGATTGATCTGAACCTAAATGGACATTGAGATCTGAAAATATTCCACTTTGAGACACACATTTCTCTGCAGCTCTGGATAGAGAAAACATATGTGAAATTCATGCAGGAAAGGGCTGAAGGAGGGAAGAAGAAGGATCAGCTGTAGTATTTTTCTCTGCCCCCATATGATGCCATTTGTCCAGGTGTCGTTGTTGTCCAAAGAAAATCAAAATTCACCTGCAAGAACCTGCAATCCGAACAGATTGCCCTCAATTTGTACGTGTCAGATGAGATATCGCCCCCTTTCATAACTTCTGTCTTTCGTCTGTGTGCTGCCTCTCATTTTCCATCTCTTATTTCCCCATGTATCTATTCATTTCTAGGTTTTCGTCTCATTGTGGAGGTTTAATATGTTTTCCCGGTCCCTTTCTCTCATGCCCGCTGAAGGTGACTCGACATCTATTAAGAAAAATCCCATGACATCAATTTAAAAAGCTACTCACAAGTAAAGGGCAGGCTACGTCTGAAACAGCCAGGCATGTTTCCAGCTGTAGATATATTTCTCGTGGAGAGCACGGAGAGGTTCTGACCTCAGCCTATGAAAACTTCCCCGTCTGTCGGCTCACCAGGCCTTTTTGCACCCGTGTAGTGCCGGCTGGTAGCAGGTGATTTGTTGTTGTTGTGTTTAGACCCCAGCAGCGCTGCAAAAACCCCTGTTAGCCACTCACGGCTCTTTGCAGCAGTGCACCTGTGCTGTTGTTGGAACACTGTATTATTTTCTATAAGCACCATCCATAATTCACACGCTGGGGCATCAAATATTGAGCAGAGAGATGGAGCTGAGAGGTCAGGAGGCTTGATTCTTGTGTAAGGCCGTGTACCCTTTTCACAAACCCACTTTTTTTTTTTCTTGGCTCACAACAGGGTCGTGTTGCTTGTTGCTAAGTTGCTTTCCTTCTGTGGCGTAAGCAAAACACAGTCTGTGTTCCCCTTTTTGAGCTGAAATAATAAACTTGTCTGTCAATGTGACTGGAGGGGAATATCAGACAGTTAAATAAAACGATTTTGTGGTTAGGTGGTTACAAAAGAAATCTTCTCACACACCATATTTCATTCAGAATCAGCACTGGCTCCATATTCTGTCACTGTACGGTGGTGTTTCGTAATGTAAATCCGCAGTTACTGTATTGTATGCTCAGTCATGACGAGCCTAGAGCAGCTACCAGAGGCACGGTTCCGCTTGAGGGAGACAGTCAAAGAAGTGAGATGCCGCTTCTCTTCCAGGCAACAGAAAGACACTTTGTAAAGCCTTGCATCAGTTGAACAAAGCCTTTTTGTTTTTTACCTTTTGGTTCCACACTTCTTCTGCTTTCTTTAGTTTATTTTTTCAGGAAGTTTCTCCTCATTCCAGCTGAGCAGAAGCGTTTGCTTTCGTTGTGTGCAATCTGTGACATCTTGCACTTGTTTAGGTTACCACCATCTCAAGAAGCATTAAGGCCCTCTGCGTGGCTCGCGCTACTCCGTCGTGATTTTTCTGATGGGTAAAGTCCTTTTGAGATTGTTTTGGAAATGTTCCTTTATTTAAAAAAAATTAACTGATGGTTTACTTTTTCTTTATGCACAGCCAAGGTCCTGCATAGGCCATAACTTTTCTTTCTTTAAGCAGTAAAAGCTACTTAATGTCAAGCTAATGGCACCAGCTACTACTTATGATGAACAAACTCTATGTACATATATATAAATTTATATATGAATATATATAAATGGGTCTTTGCACAAGTTATCTCCATGTCCGCTCCATGTGATTTTAACAGGAAAAACAAAATGCGAAGGAAGATTCAGAAAAAAAGACTTTATATATGCTTTACAATTCTTTGTCTCATTAACATTTTGCACTTATTTAAAGAGGCTTACTTCTGTTTCTGGGCTGACAGAGCTGTTTTCACGCTCGGCCAAGATATTGTACAATATGTATATGTATTTTTATTCATATGCATATAAATATATGTCTATGTAATTTGCCTCCTGTGTTCTGTTTCCTTGATTCTTCTTCATTTTGTGGCCTTGAGGCAGGTGAGAAGCCTCAAGGCCATGAAACCTAAAATCTGAGATGCATGTGTGGACATTTATTTATTTATTTTGTAAACTTTAATCAGAGAAATAATCTATTTAAAAAAATTTTATAACAGCGCAAAGATGTGTTTGAAATGAATCGGAAAACTGCTTTTAGAGGACTATTCATTGAAAATACGAGTTTCTTTTTATTAATCAGTCATCAGAATCTACAAACAGGACTGACATCTGCATGTCTGCGCTCTTTCTATTCACACTAAGAGTTTTGAGCTCGCCTTTGGTTGCTCGCAGCTTTATTAAAAACCTTGGCTTCTTTGTTATTCCCATCAGTGTGGCAAAAAAACCTCAAAGCAGTGGACATTTCACCTTTTCAAGTCTCTCTGTGGAGGCATTACCTTTAAATACTTTGCACTTTTACTTCTGTTTTGGTTTGCATAGTGGTACACAAAGACTGAATTGATGTGCCCTTGGGACATTAATTGGGTGAAAATATGAGAATATACTTCAGAACGGCTCACGTTATTCTGCTCTTTGTCTGCAAGAAATAAATCTGATATTTTCACAACAAAATAAGTATTTTATTAGAATGAAAAATGTGTCAAAGAACATTTTCTCTTATACAAAACTACGAGTTTTATTGACTACATATAAAGTGATCAGAGCAGAGTCTGTATGGCCAAGAAAAGACCTTGTTCTTCTCTTTTTTTTTACAATAAAATAAAAAAATGAAACTTAAAATTGTTTAGTTTGAACAATATTGAAATATGCCAGAAGCAGGTCATATCCAATATCGACCAAATAGTTCCAAAAAACTAAAAGTCTGGTACTAATTTGGGGCCTGAAAGTCCCTTTAGATAATTTATTTTTGTGTTTCCATCTGAGGAACTTTTATATGTGATCTTGAAGTTTGAGCTGTAAATTTTGCACAAGACAAGAACAACAACACAGTCATTAATTTAAAGCTGTGATTGTAATAGAAGAAGAACATAGAGAGAATGTAAAGACATCTGTATAACTCGGATTTAAACATCAGTGGTATTAAAAATAAAATACCATCTCTAGTGCAAAAGTATTTAGCATTTTCTGCTTTTTACACTTCAGTCACATTAACTGAACTACATTTATTTACTTTACAAGTTACTTTGCAGATTCAGATTAATAGCACAAAATATAACTGATAATAAATTATGACGTCTTATAGGATAAGATAAGGTAAGACTGGATCCCTGGAGGGAATTCCCAAACTACCCAGCAGTTACCATCTACAACATTAAAGTGATTTATAATCAATAACTATCATCCAATAATATGATACATATTATTCAGAAATGGTCTATTCTACATTTATACTTGTGGTGCTTTAAGTATTTGGTGCTAATGCTTTGACACTTTTGATGCTCTGTGTCAGTGTTCAAAAGGCGAACCTTAAATGTGTATTAGTTAAATCACATTTTGATGATTTCTTACCAAAACTTTCCCAAAGTCATGTCAAATGAAGAATAATCTGCAAAGAAAGAACGAGTCATGTGTAGGTTTTACTAAGCTGTAAAGGTAACACACTACATATATCCTCCTTGTTAACCCAGACTTCAGCAAGGGGCACTTCTCCAGGCCGGGACAATTGACCTGCGGGGTGCCAATTATAGTGATTGGCACCTTTATTTGAGTGAGGAAGAGGCGAGAGGACCAGCAGAAAGGAGACCAGATGGGTGGCCTGTTTTAGAGGTGGGGAGGAGAGCTGGGAGGGCAATGGCTGGAGGAACTGCCCTGTGGCAGAGGAAGAAACCGTGGTGGTAAACAGCTTCCAGTGAGGAGCAACAGAACTCCGCTAATTGGGTTTTTATTGGTGGTTTTAATTGGTAATCTCTCGGCAGCAGCCAAATTAACCAATAGAATAACAGTTTAGGATTGTGCTTTAGCTCGCTGTGCGCAGCCGAACAGTGAGAGAAATACTGAGCAGAAGCTGTATTTTCCTCAAAATACAAAAGCTAACTTAGTGGTGACAGTAAAAAACAAATAATATTAATAATATATATTTTGGACTTGATGTAACTATATTTTTATTGGGAAGAGAAATGTTGTTACTAATGTTAATAATGCAAGAAAAATGGAGACAATGTTCAATTGGTACATTTCCAAATTAACAATTTTCTTTAGTCAGTGCACAGCAAGCATATGTGGAGAACACACTTAATAAACTTGATAATCAGTTAAAAATAACTCAGAAACTCAACACAATCAACTAAACTCTAATAACTGACTGACTGTTTAGTCTGAAATTACACATTTCTTTTCTGAAAACTTGTATTGAAGATATTTTGTTCTGCAGAAGTCACTCTGCGACAAACCAAACAATTATACATGATCAACAACTTCGTGCCTGTTTGAAACAGATTTTTCTAGACTCAATGCAAATATTGGTTTTTTGAACAAAATAAAATGAAACAGAACAATTTAAAATAAAATGAAATAACAATTCACTCAGGAATTCAGTTCATACTAAGTGTTAGCATCAGTGCTCACGCTAAGCAATTATCACTTTTCACTATTTCAGTACAATTACTCACACATCGACTACAAGGTACCAGTGTACATATGTTGTTGTAGATTACATTTATCTTATATTAATTGCATCTGTTTGGTAGCAAAACAGCAAAAAAGTTAGTTTATATGTCGATAATACCATGATTTATACCAACGCCAGTATTAGCATACTAATGTTTGGTATGTTAATACCAAACAACCTGTAACATCTTTGTTAAAAAAGCATTATAATTTTGCCTGATCACACTGTCTTAAAAATGTCAACAAAAGTATTTTAAGGTTTTAAAATATATTTAATCTACAATAAGAGGTAATGTAAAACAGTTCATTTTAAGTCCCACTATTTAAGCAGTATATTAACTCTTAATGCATGATTTATAACACACTTTAAATGAGTTGTAATCAGATATAAGTCTTTATTAATGTATTTGTGGATGATGGTGTATAAACAGATTAATGACAATAAATATGTTATTGTAGAAGTTATAATTGCTGACGAATACTGTACATTAATAAACACCTAAAATGTCCTTATAGCTGCGTGTAACTACATTATAGTGTGTTATAAACCATTTATTTAAACCAGTATTTCTGAGACACATTTCATTATGTCTTTAATATAACCACAGCTCATCATATTTGTCTTTGTGACCGCATTTATTCATTTCTTTCCTTTTATTATGTGTTGACATAAAAAACTTTTAATCAGAATAAGAAAAACTGTTTTAATTAACTAAATTTGTCTGCTGACAAAAACAAAACGGTAAAATAGTAACAAACTCCTTTATGAACAAAATAATACAAAACTAAGTGAAGGAATAAATAAAGGAAAGGGTTATGTGTTTTCTTTTCATGTGCACCTGATGCTTCCCACTAGTCTCATGTTTAAGGTCTTGTGTGTAAGTGAGCACCGGATCAATTCCACATCAGCACTCAAAAGCTGTTTGTTGTGCATCAACAAATGAAGTCTCAGCTCCTCGTTGGCTCTGTTTTTCTTTTAACAGGCACCGTATGTGTTTGTGTGTGATTCTGGAGGGTCCACAGACCTTTAGGAATGCATCACTGTCCTGCCACCCCCACCTTTCCTCCCCTCCCCTGCTCTCCTTCCTGCATCCCTCCTTCCTCTCCCCCTCCTCCTATAAAGCAGCTCAGCGGCCCATCAGGGGGGCCCCTTCACTAATTAGGGTCACTAATTGGGGGTTGGCCGGGGCAGAGACCCCTCCACACCTGCATGGTCATGTGACATTCAAAGAGGTGCGCAGGGTCAAGGGTTGCGTACTCGGTGGGGGGAGAGGAGAGGGAGGGTTTGGATTAGTTTGACTGAGCAGACGAAGAGAGGGGTTAAAGGAGGAAAGCAGCAGGCAACAAGACGACAGAAAGGGTAAAATGGACTTGTTGCTGGGGTTATATTCAGGAAGTTAGTCAGCAGTTGAGCAACTTCAGTGAGAATTAATGTTGTTGTTTTTTTTCTTTTGCTACAAAGACAACCGGAAACATAGAAATATAAGTTGAATGAATTAAGGTTTTTCTTCCCGCTGCTGTGTCCCACCCATTTACAGGTGTTTCTTAGCTTCACTATCCCCATTTGGCTGAGCAAAAATGAAAGGAAAACATCAAAATGAAAGTGTACCGTGCACTAATTTTTAAAAAAGTAGGAGTCTATATGCAGAGAAATGTAAAGGAAGTGTAAAATGACAGAATAAAAGACACGTTGAGAAATTAGGGCGGGGACATGCTGCCCGGTCAGAGGTTAATTGCTAGGTGACCTTAAGGGCTGGACAGCTCAGTGGAGGCCCCAAACCCGCCTGCCTCTCTCAGCTCTCGTGGACTAAGTGATGTCTGCTTGTTTTGACACGATTCACACAAGAGTCGGGCTTAAGCTTACCGAAAAGATTCACAGCTGCATTCCTGAGAACCAAATCGACCCTGAAAAATCTTCCAGAGAGAGAGAGAGAGAGAGAGAGAGAGAGAGGGAGAGAGAAACAACCCTGCAATTTCAAGGGAAAGGAGGCAGGATATGAGACGATTAAAGAAGAATTGTTTGGAAGAACACGATGTTAAGGAAGGCAGTGAAATGTGTGCATTAAACATTTACAGTATGTTATGCATGTTAAATATTAAAGAGTAAATTGTCCTCAGCTTCCCTTTGTCATGAGAGACACTTTTACACATCACAGTTCAACAGCACAAATGAATGATGGCTGAATCCCATTTAGCTGCTTCAGGGTCCTGGTGTTGCTCAATGTCAACATTTTAATAGAAACACCTGTGCTTTTTTCTATGACGACAAGTCGACATTTGTGCTCTGAAAAAGGCCTTTTGACACTCAAAACAATAGAACAATAGAGACAGGGTCTCTCTTAGAAATTATGTACAACTAATCTGAAAAAATCTAGAAAG